CAGTTCCACGGCTGAGAGCAAAGCGGGCGGCCCGGCGCCTCAGCGCCCCCTGGCGGGCGCAGCCCTCCGCACGCGTCGGCTCCCGTCTAAAACCCGCTCCCTTCACGTCCTTTCTAGCTTTTGTCGTAACAAAATCGCCGCGGATAAATCCCCGTGCCGGTGACGATCTGCCCTCGTTGGCTGGAGGTTCGTTGCGCCGGAGGTTGACATGAACGACTGAAGCTGAAATATGAGAGGTAAAACCCAGCCTCGTTCCTCCCTACTGAAGAACGGTCAGTGCTGTTCCCAAGACTGAGGTTTTTAGAGCCACCGGAGTCTGCTCTACTGAGAGATAAAACACATCTTGGCACTGGCAGGGAGAACGTGGGCCCCCACCCACCCTACCACCAAGTACTGTGCCTCCCCACAGCGGGCTCTAACTCCTCTCACCGTGTCACACGCTATTTCTTCAGCATCCCCAGAGCTCTGAACCACGCAGAATGAGTGTGAGACATTCAGGCCGGAGGGAAGCATGAACTCAGCCTAGTACCATATCCATACTTTGACTAATGCTGCCTTAATTCATTACAGGTGTGGAAATTACGTCTGAGCTGCGCTGGTTGATGCAAATCTGCCATCATCGTCATCAGGCCTTCACTGCTTTGTGAGTGACAGGGAACAGTAGCTCCTCTGTTGCTTCCCACAGACCGACGTCTCTCCAGCTGAAAACCAAAGCTAATTCACTGATAAAACGGAGCATCGCCCTCAGCCAGCCTGTCCCACTGCACTTCTGCAGCGTGTGACAACCGTCACGGGCTCTGAAAGGATTTCATTGAATGAATGCTATTGCAAGACCAGTTTGCAATACATTTGTCCTGTGCAGGGAATGACAGGAAATATGCTCTCCACACTTTGAACCAGTGGTGGGTGAGTTACCTTCAGTTGAGAGGAAGACGACTTATTCCTAATTGCCTTCCACAGCCCCGCTCCTCCAGCCGACAGGAGGGGGCACAGGGACAGCTGGACACTACTGTTAAACCAAGAACAGTAAGGGCCTCACAGGCAGCCCTTCCTTGGTTGTTGTTTCCACAGCAAAGAATGAAAAATACACCACGACTATGGCCTCACTTTCTGGGGGAAAAGCGAGGCACAAAGCCAGCGTCAGTGCGCATTTAGAATTACACAGTATGCACATCTGAACACAAGGAATGAAAAGGAAGCAGCTTCCAAAGAAATGCACGCATCTACTATTTGGGCAGAGCTGCGTTTTCACACGTTCTAAGGAGCAGTGTTGCAGGAAGGAACTTCATCAGATGGTCTGACCATTGGGCATGGAGAAAGGCCATGCACAGATGACTAACAGCAGCACCCAGTGGCATGCTCCATGGCAAGCACAGTACCCCTGGCTAATGCCAGCCCTGCAGCGTTCAGAAATGGAGAATGATTACACTGGAATTTAAGAGCTGGAGCCCCACACGTGAATTTTCACTGCCTTTACCTCAGCCCACAGCCCCGATGAAACACAACAAGGAAATCAAAGTCACCGAAACGCATTTGCTGCAATATATATTTTAATTCAAAGTGAATCTCGACAGTAATACACCATAAATTCTTATTTTGACACTCACCAAAATAGTCACCTGGAAAACCCGCTTTTTGTGACAAAGTACAGAAGGCTTGGTCACATTTAAATCACTGAGAACTAGAAAGAATTACTATCGCAAACTGTAAGAGACATTACATCCATAAAAAATTTCCCAGTCCTCATATTGTAATATTGCACAGTGCAATTGCTACATGGCGAACTAGTGTAGCATAGAAATCCAAAGCAAACAAACAAACAAAGAAAAAGAACAAAAGAAAAAGGAGAAAAAGAAAGCCACGAGTCTACAAATTGTTAAACAGTAACAGTTCAAACTCATTAATCAAGTCTTTATCACTGGGTAATTCTAGAACAAGTCTTCCTACAGCTTGCAGTGTGATTTAACTTTTGCTTAACACAAACCAAGTTAATTAGCAGTATAAACAGAAAGTTTAAAAATTAAAACCCAAAAAAAAAAAAAAGTTAATACAGTAGCATATTTGACCAATAAAACACCCTGAAGTTAAAAACCGAACACAAGAAATTCATACAAAATCTTGCAAATTAAAGTAATATGCAGATATGCAGTTCTGTAGTCATGCAGTGTTTTATTTAAAAAAGGCAATAAAACAGTAAGACGTATAAACGCTTCTCAGAGGATGACTTTTGTTCTCCTCCAGGAACGGCCCTCTGCCTAAGCTTTTTTTTTGCTGCAGGGGCCCCGGACACAAGAATCCAGGCTCTTGGGACGTGCTGCAGGACTGGGGAAAAGTCATCCGCTAGGCTGAATTTCAGCTGTGGCAGAATCCCAATTATGCTGCCCGCTGAAATGCAGACATCTCTAAAATTACCGTATGGAGGAAGAGCAGCAGACCTAAGGTGGGGCACATTTACAGCAACTTTGTCCTGCGTAGGGTAGGTACTCTGACATACAGATAATCTGTCAATTGAACAAGCACAGCAGCTCCGAACCTCGAGCACGTTAAAAAGAAAGCACAGTGAGTACATCAGACCAGTGACGATCCCCATGGCCCCGGAAAAAAACAATGCAGTATTTTTATTTTTTTGTTATCGCAATACAAAATTCATTTACTCCATTTGCATTGGTGATTCGTGGTGTGTCCATTGCCTGCAATGGAGTAAGCACCAGAGAAGTGTCAATTCCCAGCACGAGGGAGCTAACAAAAAGCAATCTGCTGGACCATATAGCGCGAGTTGGAAGTGGCAAGGTGGATATCCAATTAGAGCATGCTCTCGACTCCGTGTGTTTAGGCTTCGTAGATAGGTTGATAAGATTTCAAATTAATCAGGATGCTCCTAGTTCCTAATGCATACTTTATATATACATTTATACTTGTACAAAATGCATAGAGTTGATTACTAAAAACACTGAAACTTTTGGGAAAAGTTAGGTTTCTTAATTTTCAGTGTGATTAAAAATGTACTGCTGGTATTTTATTTTTTATGATCTAATACTGTTGTATTTTAGTTATTACTTAAAAAATAAATCAAATGTAGGCACATTTATTTCATCCAGACATTCGTTAAATAAAACACTGCTTGTGTTAGTGGAGTAAAGAAAAAGTTTACCAGTTATTAGCTTATTGACAGAGTTAAACTCAACTGCTTTGCACTCTTATTCCAGTCAACATTGCAAAGATTGTATTCCAGATTTTGTTTTAAAAAAAAGTTAAGTCAAGCCTGCAAGATGCAGCTTCTTAAGTGTCTACACAATGCCAATATGAAAACATAAAAAAAAATTAAGTTACATCAATACATCCATTTATATGCAGTGATGAGCTCAAAGTTAATGGAGATAAAATACTGATGCAAATAACACACCCAAAAAAACATATGCAATCATCTTTCCTCATTTACAGTATAGTAGTTACGACACTTCAAACATGAAAAAAAGAATTAAAAAAAAAAAAAAGAACAACCCAAAACCCGGCTTCTATTTCATGTAATTAGACTTGTACAGAAATCAGAAGGCTAAGAAAGAACTAGTTAATCACCTAATTTCACAGCTATCTGAAGTGGCAATCATTATATAGCAGCTTATCTATGATACATTCAAGATAAATGATACAATTTATTACTTGCCCATAAGCTAAAACACGGCCTCAGTTTAATACCTTCTTTAAAACCCATCTCTACACTACAGTATACTTGAGGTCTATGAAAAAGTAGCTACCTTTTATAGGAAATGGATGATTAAGTCTTTGGTGCTGCAAAAGCAACTTCATTTGAACAAAACGAAAAACGGAAAGACACACCTCCTAAGGAAAAGCAAAATGCCAAAAGCATGTAACTGACGTCCCTGACGGAATGTATTCAATAAGCAAACACCCGCAACAGGCTGAAACAAATACTAGTATGTAAAAAGACTAAAATCTCTCCCATGCATAAATGAAAGATTGCACACAAAGAACTCACATCTTTTCAAGCTTCAATAGTAAATATTCTGCTACTAGTTACTGAATACTGCACGGTTCGCTCAAGCTAAGATGAAACCACACCATGAGTCGAGGAGCACTTGGCTGTTCTCTCATTACTGCTCAGCCACGCCTGCCGCACCTCTAACATCTGATGATGCCCAAGTAGACAAACACTTTAAAACAGACTACTTAGATTGTATTGCAGTTCCACGGAACAGTACGGAATACTGTGCTGTGTGTCACTACTCAAGAGCTACTGAATCAACTTTTCTTAAGCACTACTAAAGTCTTTTCTTGAAGCTAGATCATTCTGGGAAAAAAAGACAGCAAAGGTCAGCTACAGCAAACCATGCTGCCTTCTCATAAGGAAAAAACACCAAATACTAAAATCATACCACACAAAACCCAAAATGAGCAATACGCTATCAAAAAATCAGCAGATCTGAATTTTTAAGTGCTGCAGTCCTCAACATTGATATATAAGTAATAACATTAACAACCTCAAATATTTAAGGCACTATGTGTGGGAACAGTTTACAATGCAGCTGAGATTATTAGGACGACGACATTTAAGAGCAATGTTTAGGCTTCTTTGCCCATGCAAAAGACACATGCAATGTGAAGAACAACAGCCCAACTCTTAGATAAGTGACTCAACATTTAAACACCAAGGTACGTAACACAAACAAGTTACTTCTACGCTGTACTGCTGACATATGTGCATCTGTTGCTCTAATTCTGTACACTGAATGGCTTCCAAATGTAGACGTGTCTTGCACTAGTTAGAAGGCAATTTTATAAAAAATAGCAGGAGCAAAACCAGATTTCTGCTCCCGTAAGTCACCTGTCTAAAGTTACTATATAAGAAGATAACATGACCAAAGACAAGTTATACCAAATGTGCAAAACACATTAAAAGTGAGTTTTTTTTTTTTTAAAGCTCAGAGTTGTTTAAATTGCACCCAAGTCTACATGATTCAAAAAAATAATTTTCCTGTTGTGCCATGGCTAATATTTAATAAATACCATGTTTCTTCTTAAGTCAAACTTCCGTATCATTGAGCTTCCTCAATACACTCTACTTGAGTTCTCACATAAATGGGTACTGGCTGAGTTTTTTTGGACTCAATGGAAATCCTGTGTAAGCAGGTGATGCTGCAATGTACGAATGTGGTGGAAAAATTGGTTTGTACTGAGTCTGATGAATGGTTGGGGAAGGTAAAAGGCGGGGATTTATGCCAACTGGAACTTGGTGCACTATAGCACTGGGGTGAGATATGCTGTACGTCGGATGTTGCAGTAAGGGTCTTGAGGTACACGGTGAAGCAAGGAGGTGGGCAACGGGTGCAGCAGTGCTAAGGGGTGCCGACGATGGGTACGGAAGAATAGCAGGCTGTCCTCCCAGGTGGGTGCTTCCAGGGAGATGTGCGTGCACGGTAGTGGGGTTTGGACTTCCTTGAGGAAGGGAGAAAGCATGACTGGCAACGCTCGCTGGGATGTAGGCCTGCTGCCTTCGATGAGCGTAGTTCCCATTCCATTCCTGCGGCGCAGATCCAAAGTGCTGCACCTGTCCATACACAGAAAGGGACAGGTCTTAATATTTCTGAGTTTAGAGACGGTTTGAAAAATGGAATAATGCACTAAAACTAATCAACTCAAAATCGAGAGAAACAGAGACAGGAATAATTAAATGCTTAAACAAAAAAAAACATATTAGCTATTTAGATAGTAGCACAGACAGGAAATCTGACAGTAAGAGATGATAAACAGAACACAAGTTATTTTAATGCTCTTGCAAAAAAAAAAAAGAAAAAGAAAGAAGATAATATGCCATGCTGGGCTGTTTTAACAGAAATACCATGTATCACATGAGCAAGGTGCTTATTCCACTCTACTCAGCACTGGCTTGGCATCAATTGGAAGTGCTGCATTCAGTTTGGGCACCATAATGAGGCACAAAGAGGACAAATAGGAGAGAAATTTTAGAGGAGAGCAGGAAAAATAATAAACGGATTGAAAATTTCTGAGACAACTAGGCAAACAGAACTCTAGGGCTATGATCACAGAAAGATGTGGCAGTCATTTAGAATTATAAAGACAAAGACTAAAAATCAATTACTTCCATTAAGTGACATGGACTTTAAACTACACACGGCATCTACCAAAGAAGGAAGGCTCAGCATAAATTTTTGTAATGAACATAATATCCTACAATTTCTGCTAGGAGCTTGAGTAGCTGCAGCCACTGAAGAGATTAAAAATTAATACTGTGCTGATCACATTAAGGTTTGCTTAGAATTAATTAAATCAATCCTTCTGCATAATCATGAGGAAGGGAAGATAGCGTCGCCACCCAAATGTTTCTTTCAATCTAAACTATTCAAGTCATTATTGGTAAATCCTCTTATCTACACGTAGCATACTTGCATTTAATATTTGACTTACAATTTAACATTCCGTTACTCTGGAAGACTTATGCAAACAGACACTGTTCTTATATTAAATGTAGATATCCAGGTATCTTACTAAAAGCTCAAGCGCAGCTACAGCTCAAAATTAATTAATTAAAAGAGCTCCAACTTAAGGCTGTAGGTCAACTTCAGTTCTCAGTCACAACAGACACATTCAATACAACGCTAGGTAATGACAAAAATAGCTTTTAAATCAGCCTTGGGTATCTTCCAACACTGGACAGAACTACGATCACAAGCTCCTTCCCACTTTGCTATCTGACTGCAAGGGTAAGGCAGAGCTGGCTTTGCTAAGCCCTGCCTCTATGTACTCAAACTACAAGTACTTTCCTGCACACTACTGACAGAACAAGACTGAAAGGCAGCTCCAGTTCCTAAATGCACACTATAAGCATTTTAGCATTCAGACGTAGAAAATAAATATACCAATGTTTTTCACTATGACTTGTGCCCAAGTAATGACTTGTGCCCAGTAAGCTGAAATCCATCTCAAGATTCGAACAGCTCTGCCATCGAGTCGTTGAAAATCTGCAGTTGCTATTTATCCCAACTGAAAGTGCAAGTAGTCAGTGTGTTTGGAAACAGAAAAGTTGTTCTGTGATATAAGCAAGTGCACATACCTGGCTGAAGTTTAAATGCTGCTGATGGAATGCTGATGCCAGTTTTTGCTGACGGTTTCCCACAGCAGAAGACTGGGTTTTTCTTCCCAAGACAGACCGACCATTTTTCAATGGCTGACAAGTAGCATCTTCCAAGATACAAATGAACAATGTTATGCTTTTTTTTGTCTTTACTCAGTTCTAACAGTTCAAAGACAAAATTTCATTTGCTTCAGCATACAGAGGGAAATAATAAAACAATACGTTAATTCAAGGCTTAAAACCTTGCAGTTCGTAAGTGTTTACTGCAGATTAGCAGATACAAGAGTAAACCTACCTGAGTATGGCTACTGAATAAACTATTCACATTCCATTTTGGTCTACTGATGTAGAAAGGAAAAACCACCTTAACTCACTCACCTGTGTTCACCACCTGTTCATCAAGACGTAATCTGCTTTCAAGACTCATTGGTGGCACCACTACTGTGCAAACAGCTGATTTGGTTTCAGAATTAACTGATGCTCTTGCTTCCTTATTTTTGTTGGTATTATTATTAGCTACAAAGCCATCTTCGACAAACGGGCTGTCATGTCCTGAAGAGTCTGAAGTTGGGGAACCATCCACTGTATCGCATCCACTTTCCTGTTCATCATCTGACATACTACCAAAAAATAAATGTAATGCATTAAAACAAATACGTATTCATAACACAGACTCATTTTTTAAAATAACACAATATCTTCATAAATGAAAGGACTTAAAGGTGAATGTTACATTTTACTTACACATGTATGGGCACTCAAGATGGCAGCTGAATATTTAAGACTCACTCCACCCACAAATTTAATGGTTCAGAGAAAGGCTGTAACTTCTACATAAAGATTCAGATGTGCATCTTTCACCTACTTTTCTGATTTTTTTTTTTTTTTTTTTTTAAGGTAAGCTTGAACTTACAGTTCACCTGACATTTGTATTTTTTAGGCCAACTAAAAGGTTGAAGGTCATTTCTTCACAAAAGCTTCCAGTGGCTATTCTGGTATTTGTGCACTGCTGATCAGGTGGCACAAACTGATTTGTTCAAATACTGTTTCTGTGAGAGCAGCTGGAAGGGGCAAGAGGTGGAGCCCAGGAACCAGCCTTTGCTAACACTTACTGAAGCTATGCATTTGTATTGGCAAATGTATGAAGACAGTAAGAGCTGTCAAAGGTATGATCACAGTCAAATCAATGGTACCAGAACCACATACCCTACTCTTCTAACAGCATGTAATATGCAAGCTGAGAAATTACAATCAAGTATTACCAGAAAATATGGTCCTCAACTGGGACTATGCCAGGCATGAATTAAATGGACAGCAAGAGCCAGGACCGTGCACTGTAAGTGTCACACAGACTGTGCTTTAGCATCAAGCTCCGTGGTACTGTGCCAAGAATGCAATAAATTAGTTCAGAGTTACAGTGCAAATTTTTCTAAAACCAGATTTTGAATAATATGCAAAAATGAAGGCTTAAACTGGACATGAAGCAGCTCATATGAACAATGTTCATATAAGCAGAGCTTTAGCTTGGTAGCAGAAAAAGGCATCAGTGTCATTACAGCTTACATTATAAGAATGGGAGAGGAAAAATTCAGGATATCCTGGTAACTTCAAATCTGTGACATCCTACTTTGCTTTACTTAGTTTTGTCAATTTGAAAGGTTCTCATTCTAAAATGAGAAATTGGAAATGACATTTTTGTGTTTTCTCTGTGAATTCCATTCATTCGGTATTCTGAAAACTTCCAGTGAAGCAAGAAGGATAACGGAGAAGCCTGTGCTGTGCAACTGCAGGACAACACCACTTCCTTTTTTCTGTTTTTAGTAAACTAGTCTACTAAGTCTGTCAGGATCTTTCTTTTTACTGAAAAGACCACCACTTTTACCTGTTGGATCTCTTGCAAGGAGATGGACTGGACTGTCCTGAGGAGCTCGTGCTCAGAGTGCTATCAGGACTGCTTAGGGAACATACACGGTCAATATTCAGAGTATTTTGGCAGGCTTCACAGTCGAGGCTACCTTTGCACCTAGCACACAAAAGAAAGCAAACAAACACGCTGTCAGTCATTTGTTCTTCCTATATGCCACTGTCCTAGCAGTTGTTATGGAATAGAAGTAGCTCAAATATTAGAAAAGGTCTCCTAAATAATCTAAATGAATATCCAGTTTGTTGTTTTTGTTGTTCCTTCTTAAAACATCCAAATCAGACTTTAAACTTCTCTGAAGTTCCTCTGGAAATTCCAGACTAACTGTGCATTATTTGAAATCTACTAAATCATCTTACACTGAATCATCACAAACAAGTACATATAGTTTTTACTATAAGCGAGGTTCCTCCTGTTCAAAATTGGTAACAAGGGAAAATAAATTCAAACAAACATTAAGCTCTCAGGTCTTTATTTAAAACAGAATCTTTCTTCTACAGCTTTATAAAGAAAAATCCTCTGGGAGACCTTGCTCAGTCCCTGCGTTTGTACTCAAGGGCACATCTCTTCAAACTGCATAAGTTGTTTCTGACCCTTATCTGTCATGTTATCTACAAGATGGTACTGTAGAACATTAACATCAGTCATACAGAGCCAGAAGATTAATCTTCAATACAGATATAAGCTATGGCAGTATTAAAGAAAAAAGCACGCTGAACCTGAAAGTACTCTATTTTGAAGAAGCCTGTTACCAAAGAACAGTAAACCTGTTTCCTTGTTAAATGTCTTACAAAGATTAACAAGAAAGAATTTTTGAAGTATTTTTTTTTTTTGCTTTCAAACAATATGCTGCTACAGAGCTGACTTTCCAGTGCAACCTGATTGAAGTGCATTCTTTACCTTCTATTTGCATTAAAGCAGCTACATGCAAGCAGAAATTCATAAAGGTAAGGATCAGTTCTTACTCTCTCAGAGAACGTGTTTGACCTAAGTCATCTTCATCGGTGTCGCTGCTGATGGTGATCACACTGACTGCAGGGCTGGGGGAGCCTGCAATGAAGATAGCCTGTCGCTGCTTGTTGGGAAGAGATGAATCAGGTTCCAGCCTGACCGATGCTTCGCAGCAGTTACTCTCCTGTCCATCTGAGTTATGATTGTCCTGTGCTTCTATACAGCTTATTCTCTTTACAGCCTTCAGGTTAATTATCTTTGGAGATATAAAGGCTGAATTTTGGATATTGGTATTTTGCAACGCATTGCTCCTGTGAAGAAAATACACCATTTGACATTTATTGAATTTCTGAATCTGAAAACTGTACTATTAAAAAAAAAAAAGTTAGCTAAAACACCAATTTTCAAAAAAAGAAAAACACAAAACATTGATCATAGTGATAATACTCAGCCTTATAATTTTAGACCAATTAAAAAAAGAATCAGAAACATGCTAGTTAGAAGCTGCGTCACAGCATTCAAAGCAAGATCTAAGAGGACATTCTGCAACAAAACTGAAAATCTCATTTATTCACTTATCTATTTTTATTAGGGAAAAAAAAGAAGAGAAAACCCACACCTTCACAAATACTTCACATGGCAGTGAGGTATTATTTTCTTCAGCAAGTAGCTGAAGTATTTTTGGCCACCAGTGAAAGAAAGACTGCTCTTAAGGTGATCGTAAGGCATACTGCAATCTTATTATCCAGTATCTCTTTATTTTTAGTTCTCTAAACCTTGCATTTCCTCATGCATATAAGCTCAGGAATATCTCATTAGAGCTACCTCACCATATTCTCATACCTTCCCAAAGGTGATAAAGACAACTTTGCTATCATAATAGGCAGAAATTTATCAACAGGAACTAAAATCTCCTGCTACTGCAAATATTTTTCCATCTAGTCTGTATTACCAAAAATAACACTGAATAATCAGAGCAGAAAGGACGAATTTTCCCAAAAGACATCTTTCCCCCCACTAACAAACATGCACTTCCACAGCCCCTACCCACTGAACAGCAATTACAGACATACTATCTTTGAATGTTAGAAAAATTCTACCAACCTGTTCTGACACAGTTTATTCCTCTTGGTAGCTGCAGGCTGAGGCCAGACAACATGTGCAATGCCCACACTAATTGGCTGTGGGGCAGAAAAGGTTATTTGATGTGTTAAAAGAGGCTGTGGCATCACTGAGTTGTAATGAGTGCCCTGGGTAATCATCTTCCTAAGGAAAAAGAAAAGATTTAAACCAAGTCATTTGTATTGCATCCATCAATCTCGCTAAACCAAAGCCAGTAGGGTATTGCACAAAATGTGCAGACTTACCCCCAGTCTCCAAGCCTCTGTGGGCCAGCCACAGGATCAGAAGCTAGAGATGTCGCAGGGGCTGCCACTGGTGCCACTTGCTGCCACGCAGGAACCAGGATTTGCTGGGTGTGGTTTGACCACGTCTGCCACGAAGCAGAGAAGAGATAACAGAGATGCTTATTGCTCAGCACAATACGGAACAGGAATTGCAGTAGAACTTTACAGAATATTATCAAAACAATTTTCATTAAAAAATATTTGTTAACTAACAGTAAAAACAAATCACATTTTTATTTTCAAGGAAACCAACCTGAGAAAGGATTCCTGCTCGAATCTGTAGTGGCTGAATTGCATGGGCCTGGGTCACCAACGGAACGGCGTTGTCCACCCTCAGGGAGAAACTTGTGGGTTTACTATGGTTTGTAGTAATTCCTATCAGGAAGAAAAACACATAGCCAGGCTTTAAGCAAAACGCCAGTCTTGAATAATTTCTGAGCAAAGTGCAAACATAAAGAATATCTTAGTAACATTTTGCTATTTTGTCTTGATGTGTTCACCATCTGATCCCGTAATTCAGGCTTTCCAAGCCAAATACAATCACTGTGACACTTAAAAGATTTTTGTGTCAGTACTCAGCTGCACAAATATTTTACCTCGTATTTCCAGAAAGAACTGCCAATACCTACTATTTGAAAACAGACTACTAGAAAGTGGAATGACTTTGGCAGCAGGTTCCGCAAAGCTAAGCATTTTGCTTATCACAAATTACATAAAACATATTTGCAAGGAAGCATTACAAAAATAAGCAAAACTGAATTTCAACCATTCCCACCAACTCCTGCATTTCTCACACACTATTTCCAGTTAGATAAAACCCATCCTCCCAGCTCTTGGAATAAACAAAGCCACGTGTGTAATGCCCCTGTTTGTTACCATCTCTTTTGTGAAAAACAATGTGAAATTTTCTGTATTTTCTCCATACACCACCAAATATTTTCATAATTCAACAAAAATAATGCCAAGTGTACTACTGTTGGAATACTATCACAGGCATGTTATAGCAAGAAGATGCATCTTGTGCTGTATATAAATCTCACTATTGCTACAGGAAACTAACAGACATGTAGCAACATCACAATTAATAATGTTAATAAACTAAAAAGATTTTTTTAAAGGAGATAATGCAACAGAACAGCTATGCTTAAAGAAAGCAGTGGTTAGAAGAATATACTAATTTCATTGGCATCCTGTGACTTCACCAAAGCCTAAGCAGTGGGTGTTTGGAGGTAACTACTGAAGAACAATGAAATAAATCACAGAATCACAGAACGGCCTGGGTTGCAAACGAGCGCACTGCTCATCCTGCTCCAACCCCCTGCTATGTGCAGGTCGCCAACCAGCAGCCCAGGCTGCCCAGAGCCACATCCAGCCTGGCCTTGAATGCCTCCAGGGATGGAGCATCCACAGCCTCCTTGGGCAACCTGTTCCAGTGCCTCACCACCTCTGTGTGAAAAACTTCCTCCTCATATCCAACCTAAACCTCCCCTGTCTCAGTTTAAAACCATTCCCCCTCGTCCTATCACTATTCACCCTTGTAAACAGCCATTAGACTGCATGTGTTTTACAGCTGTAAAGACTATGTGTTTTCTTTTATAACCTTTAAAAATGTAAAAAGAAGGAAAATCTTCAACAGATGCAATACTGTCATGTCATAAAACAATACTAAGTTATCATCATGCTGTCAAAAGCTTTACATTTTGAAATGCTGTTCACTAATTTCCTTTCCACACAGCCACCCAGAACATCTTAACTCTGCCAGGAGTAGCAAGACCTAGCACTTAAGATATTTGACAGAGTAGCCAAGCAAAGAAAAATCTGAAGAGGTGCCAGACCCCATTAATATCCCTTTCCCTCCATACCAGCAACTCAGCTTGTCACTTATGTGATGAAACCAATAAATTCCCTTTATTCAAGCTGTAGCAGAACTTCAGTTTGGACATTTATCATCATGCTAAAAATACACATATAACACGACTGAGAAAGTCTGTTGTTTCTGTCTTTATCCAAAGAGAGAAAGACTTCCTGGGTTCTAAGTTTAGGTAAAAAGCGAGGAGAAGTTAGAAAATCATATTAAGAAAAACCTTACAATAAAATGTATCATTTCAAGATCTAATCTCTTTAGCAAAGTTGATCAAGATAGCCAAATCGCGTGTTTGGGCATGAAAGCCTATAAGCAAACTCAGTTAATATGCAAACAATATAAACTACCTTTCCCTATCCATAAATGACTGTTCCTAGGATAGAAAGCTGCAGTTCCTCTCTGATCAGCCAACTCTAAACAGAAAAAAGCCCACAGTTTTTGACTGATGTGTCCTGCAATCAAACTGAAGTTTTCAAAACTCCTAAGCAGTAAGACATTATGCAAATAAATCTGTTTGGGAAATAGAGGTCACCTACACTGCCATGTACCTTTCCAGAGATGCAGATCTTTATGTGGTCATTTTTTACCTTACAGAAATGCTTCTCTACAGCCTTTCCACCACACAGTCTTCCAACTGTTTCTGATAATTAAGCCCTCAGCCAATTATTTCTTTACATATAGAAAATTGTATACTCAAGTTAATTTTACCCCTGTAGTAAATGAAGAGTTCAGTCAAGCATCGTTACTTCCTCACAGGACAAAACAATCAAAGCTCTCAAAGATTCAGTTGCATTTTTTTAACCAGCAGAATATTGCAACCGTTCTATATAGCTGTTCTGATTGATGTTAATCATAGGACAGCATATCTGATACCATTTACATGGGCAGCAACATCCTTAGACAAAGCCCCAAAATTCTAAATGTTTTGTTATACGTTCTGCTAATCATCCAGATCGATTTAGGACAAGAGGAGTTATGGTTTCTTACCCTTGTCCCTAGGATATCCTATATCCCTAGGGATGTAGGGATAACTATATCCAAGGGATATAGTTGCAGCAACATTGATACTCTCCTCATCTTTCTTGTTTCTTCTCATGTTTTATTTTAGAACACTCTCCTTTCTTGCTTTAGGATTCCACATCTTGTGTCTCTATTTTATTCAGATTTATCTATGGGCATATATGTATGTAAATGCAACAGGGGAGAGAAGGAGAGGGAAAGGAAGAGTGAGAAGGTGCAAAGTATCTCATTCTGACTCTTACACTATTTTTTCTTTTTTTTTTTATTTGAACAGAATTAATTCCTTCAATATACAGCTTCAGCAGATATAGTGGAAAACCCAAGTGCTGCTATAGGAGACAGCACCACTCATATTTCAGGAGCTAACAGTTACAGTTAAACATACCTTGAAGAGTCGGAGGACATATAATCAGTGTCTGCTGGAAAATGTCACTGCAACCAAACTGAGCAGTTCCTGCCTGCAGTGGTATTCCTTGGTGCAAAACTGAGTGGGCAGATGCAGTTAAAGCCTGAGGGAGCAGGTTAAACACAGGCACCATTATAATCGTGAACACGTCCCACTGGCTAGTATAATAAACAGCTAAAGTAGTGGAAATTTCAAATCCATTTGACAGGAAGCATTTCCATCTTGCCACGGGAGGGCACTGCAATACAACAGTGCTCTACTACAACAATTCCAGCTTGTAGCAATTTGGAAACGTATGGGATTCTAAACCAAGTTTGTTTGGTATCTTAAACAAACATCACTCACACACACACACACAGACACACACACACACACACAAAGCATAAAATAAAATATAAAAACGTTTTTACCTGGCTTCTTAATGGGCCAATTTTGGTGAAGCTTGCAGTCAGATTAGCTGCACTGCCTGAGGCAACTGGTCTCATAAGCGATGTTTTATTGCGGTTGCTTAGATCATATAAATTTGATCTGCACTTGCAAACATCCATGATGTGAAAACAGGACTTTACTCTGTTACAGACAGAAAAAATGTGGGTTGCTCTAAGCAGAATTGTATGCAACTTAAATGTATGTTATAAAATCACAGAACAAGAAGAAAAAGCTCAAAGCTCCCAGTTGCCAGTTCCACAGAGTGGCATCATGCACAGAAGCAGTAGCAACACAGAAGTTGTGCTGTTACTATGTCCAAGTCAAGATTTCTTAATACATGTTTTGAAACTAAAGTTAAATAAATAAATAAATAAATAAATAAATAAACTTGCAATTTCCTGCTCCTTGCACCTAACACTGTTCTAACAGCTGGATACAAGCAAGACAACAACTTAAAGGGATGGAAAGCTTCTTCCTTCCCTGAAATGCTGGCACTTCTGGAAATGCACACTGAAAGATCTAGTTCCAGAAATGCAGAAAAGCTCTCAATATATTCTATCTCAGCCACTGTACAAAAGAAAGGACAGAGTTCATTTCGTGCTCAACGACTGACAAGAACTATCTTGTCATACTTCTAAGAATCAAGCCCCAAATTTCTGCAGTGTTGGATTTTTATAACCCAGACATTTAAAAGATAATTTAAAATTCTATTGGTTAAATGTTGCTTTTCAGAAAATAAAAAATCATTCAAACGCTTTCTTTGACCTAGTGGATGTATCTAACATTGCAAGCACTTGAAAAAACTCCCTAAGATGGTACAGAAATGACTGAAGATTTTTTGCTCTGATAGCAGACGAAACAGCAGTATCACACATATAAATTGCTGCAACAGAGACAAAAGACCTTTGGTACATACTGGTTGCTATGAGGAAAATCGAGGAGGTGCTTCATGGTAACAAAAGAATGGTTCAGCGTCTCAGCTGGAGTGATTCTTAAATCAGCATCAATCAGCAACATTTTCTTCAACAGACTGACAAATTCCCTCCTGTCTGCCTTCTCTGCCAACAGGTCACTTCCTTCCAAATCCATCACCATGTTCACCTGGCATTGAATAAAAGAGGCAGACACAAGACATCCACGTTGGTCTGATTCCTTCTGTTACTGGACAAGAACCACTGCTTAACACAGACAGTGACAAAGAACATCTTTCTAGAAAGACAAACTGACACAGCTGGGTATTTTCCCCAGCACAACATATATAGACAAGGATGGATAAGATTGACACACAACAAAATAACAGTCTAAAAGATGTTTAGTTCAAAACAAAAATAATTATTCCCATCCTTCCTTTTGCAGAGGAAGGAGGCATAAATACTCACGTGCACTATATCATCCAAACTGTTGAAAATATACTTCCTGGCCTCTTTAGACTTCATACCTGTCTCTGCCTCGTGCTCTTCCAAAGTCTCAAAAAAAAAAAAAAAGAGTTGAATTTAGACATCAGCAATAGAGAACAAGTGAAAAAAACCTAACACCTCCAATTCCTGAGCACGTTTAAACATTTACTGGCCTAAGAAGCCTGATAAACAAACAAACAAAAAAATAATTCAATTACATATTTGAGTTTTTTATATCCTTAATTGCTGACTACTTAGATTTTCTAAATTGAAATATGAAAGCACTGAATTCTACATCTAATTTTACACAGTACTGGACTACAATAGCCACTGTGTGGCTTTGTGAACCACGCAGGAAGCATTAAAAGCCTAGCAAAAAGTCAGTTAATGGTGTTTATATGCACACAAAATGTGTGTTATTATATGTCACAGCTTTTCTACTACTTGTATGGTACACATTTCCTTAAATTCAGACCTTTCATTCCAAACAGCAGTAACACCATATCACTGAAGGAAAAAAATAGTATGGGTCAGACTTCATTCAACATCGTTTGCTTTGCCATGTTGTATGATGTAAGTTAGCACTGCAAGGAATTTTCTTTTTCTTTTTTTTTCCCCCAAACATTCAGATTACAGGAAATTTTCTGAAATTAACTCTGTAGTAATGATCAGTGGTCCATACCAAAACTTCTTTCTTCCCTCAAGGCGGCGTTGAGCCTGATGGGAGAAATGGAACTTCCTAAAACTGAAGAGGGTTGTTTGCATAAAGGACTTTTAGCTTCCGACACAGAAAAGCCAGATGCACACTGCCATCTCTCCATCAACGGTGTGAACTTTTTTCTTTTCTAATGGAATAATCACAGCAGTGTAATGAGAGAATCCTGGAACAGGGTGACCCCAGCAATATTCATTCCTCCACGGCCAGCACCAGCCCCAGCTACTCAGCCCACTGCACACTGTGGATTTGCCACTTCATGGGAAGTTATGCAATCTGGGCTTTTGAGCTTGCCAGCTGTTTGTTACTTCAGAGGCTTTATGTCAACAGTAACTGCTTCGTCACCCCTCAAGCTCTGTGTAAACTCTGCGGAACAGCAACATGAAGCAATTCCATTTACCAAAAACAATCTTTGCATAGGGGGTTCTAAGTGTTTATAGTCATGTGAAGTTGCTTAGAGAGAAGCAAGGTAGACAGACCATAAAAACAGACTTATTTTGTCTACTTTCATTGTACTGCAGCTTTCGGCCAACAAAGACTGTTGTAGTATGAAATCTGAAGCAAGTGAATCATGTTGTTTCTTAGTCTCCTTTCTCCTAGGACTTCTGATCCTGAAATCACTTTTGAAGAACTCAATAAGAGCAGTTTGGGCCTCAGAGACAAATTCTATGAAGTGAAGTGAAAATCTGTGACTAAGCAAGAGAAAAACCTCATTTAGTGCCTCAAGAAATACAAGGCTTAATGTGCAGCCAGGCACACGTGTCTTCTGGCCAGCCACTGCTTAAGGGGTGTGAAGTGCTGGTGTTTAGGAATGAGGCAGGGAAGGTGAAAAAATGGAAGAGATACAGAGTGGGGACAAAAAACATATATATATCACTGGAGATGTGGAAGGGAGCTAATGCTATTGTAGCAAATCTTGGCCTTTTTGGTTTCTCTGCTTTCTACTGCATTATACTGATTACCTTTAATCTCCAACTAGAATATGGTGCGTCTGTTTCTCTACAGAAAAATCTTGCAGTTTTCGTCCCCATGCTTAACAACTGTTCTCCTGGCAAACCTTGAGTCTGAGAAATGTAACGAATCTGAGGAAGAAAAAAGAAGTGCAGCAAAGAGTTTAGCTCTGATTTTTAAAATATGAACCACACAAGTTAAAAATTTATTTCACTTAAAAACAATGACAAAAAAACCTGGACTTTAACAGACACATCTTACACAGGAGAAAAAAATAAAACTGAATGCTTGATACTGTTTCCTCACACTTCCAGAGGCATCCATACAGAAACAAACCACTGAAGTGACCTATATAAGCCAGCTTTTCAAGTTCAGTCACAGATATGAGGACCTGAGGAGAACGGCTGTCATCCTCAACCTGCTCTAATCCTAAATATCATGCATTAATTCTAAATATGAAAACTGGCACTAGAGATTTGCTTGTATGTAGAATTTTGTGTACAGATTTTTGATGTTTTGTTTGTGGGTTTTTTTGCATACTCTCATTATATAGCTCTACAAAATCCTTCACATTTTTGTCACATTTTGTACATCTGACACATGCACATTTCCAGCAAAGGTTTCACTTAAAAAGCAAGAGCACGTACAGTCCCCAGACAGCCAGAGATGCTCTGCTAATCTCAGAAAATGACTACTGAATGCAATAGGAATGGAGTAGCACCTTTGTCTCAAAGACAGGTGATTTTATTCACTGAAATGATCAGCCATTTATTTTAGGAGAGAATTGGGCACTGTCCCATACCACATACCTGCACGGAGGTGCAGTCAGTGTAAGGCTGACCTTGTAAAAACTGGAGCAGTTGGGGAGTCCCAGAGAATGGAAGAAAGGGAAATCAAAAGGACAAAGCAAGAAAATACCAGAAGAGGAGTTTGATGGTCAGTATAGGACTTGAGAGCTAGAAGCATCTGAGAGGAAGAAAACTGATGGGAAATGGAAAGTCCATAATTCTTTACATCATGGAGTAAAGACAAATCCAGTCAATCATAAATATTTCTAGATTGTGTAGTTATTACCTAAGCACTTTTTACAGGCTTTGAATTTAGGAGAGACAAAACAATGCATTAATTCAAAAATTTAACATTTAAGCACCTGGGCCATTGTTGGGGAGCATTAAGGCTCAGATGATGTGGCTACTTCCTACTAAGAAGTGCATCTGATACTGAATATATTCAGAAGCTCTGAGTTATTATCTTCATTTACTTTCAAGGGCTAGCTTGTTGGTTGTCACACACAGGGGCAGGGGAAATGGAACATGAAGCGCTTGCCTGTTCATTCACTAGGTGACATCACTACCAGAAGGAAGGGAAATTCCTTGAAAGCCATCTCCTACAGCTGCGGTACTCACGTGCACTGAGTAAAACACTAAAGCAGATTTTTCTGCAGCAAGTTTTGCAGACGTGGCTGGGCATGATGACAAGCTTGCCTAAAACAAGGCCATCAGTGGCGGTGCAGAGGAGGGGACAGCTCCTGTTCCAGTGTGAGAACCAACCCGATACATCGAGCTAGCAACTGATAGCAAGCTCAACTGATGTGGTGTCTTTAAATTTTGTTTGCCTGTTTTCCATATACTGATGTGGCTGTCTTTAAATTTTGTTTGCCTGTTTTCCATACACAAGATCGCTGCAATGGGAGAAAGAAGATGGTTTTGTTGTTGCATTGTGTTTGTTTTTGAACTAAGATTCCATGCTACTCTAAAAAGATTCTCCTAATGATGAGATTGTACAGAGAGCAGTACAGGTGTAAAGCCCCAGAGTCAGAGGCCTGGACTCAGCTAATGCATTCCTGCCATCACGATGAATCACAAGTTAATTAAGGACAGAATCAGGACCTGGGCAGAATTTTTGATCACTGAAATCCCAGCTTCATCCTACAGGAGAGGCAACATGGCCCAAAGCCACATCAGACATCCAGGAGCAGCATCAACCTGTATGCAGCACCACGATCACGTCGTCAACTGTGCTTACAGCTTCCTCCTCCAAACAGCACTCCTAGCTGTTACTTACAGCAGTGGGGGGCAAGAGTGGAGGTAATTCTGGAAATTACACGTTGTGACCTTTCTTACAAGTCCAGATCTTCTTCTGCAGTTTCTTTTAAAAATAATAAATAAATAGGTTTGCCAAGCTCTTGTCAATCTCTGAGATGGTATTTCAAATCATTTCAAAAACAGATGTCTTCACTTTTTCCTTAAAGAATGCAATAAATTATATGGCTGTTAGTTTTTTCCTCTTTCCTTCTCTATTTTAAGAGCAATACAGTTCATAAATGCCTTCTACATACCAGTCAACATCAATCCATGTTCCACTCACAGCTCACTTCCTACCCAGGAAACACTGAGTTTTGTATAAACATGGGAAACAATAAAATGAAATGTTACAAAATCAGCACAGAATCAATATATTTCCTGACAGTGATTTTGACAAAAAGGCTTTTCTAAAATTAACTCCAGTCTTTAAGACAGAGAGCCAGAAGTCTGGGATATGAAGATGAGGATCAGAATAATCTAAACCGGTGTGTTGGAGGAACTGCCCTCAACTGCACGCTGAATCAAAGATGCAGAAGTTAAAAAGAAGCAAGTGCTGTTACCACTGGGATTTTCAGGAGCCTTCTTTGCTTTCAAAGTTCAGAAGTGATAGAGAAATCAGAATTCTGATTATATTACTACCAACTTTCCACGTTACATTAAAGATAAGACCTCTCTCTCTCTAAATATGAGCACCTCAGATTTCCAGACTCAACCCCATTCTCAGCAATTAAAAGGAAGACTATAAAGCAACAATGGTGTCCTCAAACTCTGGTTCCCATCAAATAAATCAGTCTAAATGCCAACATTTATTTTACAAGACAGAGGGGGAAAAAAAATTGAAGTTCAATTCAGAAAAGCAGCATAATATACAGTTCATTCTAGAAACAGGATTCATGTTTCTAGAATAATTAACACTAAAATAAAAGCATCAAGCAGATTTGAAGAAATACTACTTGATAGGGTATGTTATTAGCATCTGAAATTCTGAGTTTAAGGCTCTGAAATACTTAAATTGCATAAAGCAAACATACACTCGTGAAAGTTTTTCTACTACCTGGTCATATTCCAGTGCTCCTGGGTACAGTGGCCATCCAAGAAACAGCTCTGCAATCACACACCCTAATGACCACATGTCTATGGCTTCACAAAACGGCAATCCCAGTATGATCTCCGGTGCTCTGCAAATTAAATACAGTTATTGGATTTTTTCCTCGGGGAAAAAAGGCGTTTCAACAATCCAATGACAAAACCATCTGTTATTTGAAAACACAGGCTAATCACTTCAGTAAAACCATAACATCACAACCTGCACTTTTGTCTACATAACCTGCTGTAAGAATTTAGTCTCTCTGAAACGTTATTTATCAGTTTGCTTCCCGTGTACATGAAAATAAGCGATGTGCCTGAAAAAGAGAACACAATGGATTCCATGTTTTTGCCTTTCCTCCGGCACGTCCTGAGCAATTCATTTGCTGTACACCTGTAACTACATTCTAAAGAAAATACAGCCATTTGTGTCAAAACAAAAAACACCAAAATTTTACCCGAAAATACACTTGCACGCTTCTGAACTGGAAAGTACACTCAAGTTACTTAAAATATCAATTTAATTACATAACTGTAAATCCCTTACGCTCTCAAATTAATACAAGGTGAGCCATTCCTTAACTGCTTCAATGACACCCCTGCACTAGCTAAATAGATCAGGAATTACTTCTTCCACTTAAAACAAATGTGAATTACTTGAACAACAGCACTGAAATGTATTTCTCCACTCAACACCTAGAAAAATTGGTATTGACACAGCTGCTAAAGGGGCTTTTAACATTTCTGTTCACGTTGAACAAAACTCAAGTATTCCACAGACACCGGTTTTAATTACATTTGCTCTTTTTAAGCCTTCCCCCCCGTTTGTTCAAGCTATAACGCGATTTAGTTTTAAAATTACAATCTGTTGTTACCTTAGCATGTGACAGAGCAGCACGAAGACAATTAGAACCAACACAATAATTCACATCACAACTGGGCTGAACGGTAGCATTCAAGTGATCACGTTACCGGCTGCTGAGAAAAATCCTGATTGCCCATCCGTGCAAGAGCTGATAAATGTCACACTTCAGCACACGCTGCTGGGTCATTTTAACATTCCACAAACAAAACAACCTCTTAACGTAATAAATTCCCATATATTCAATTTACCTCCTCTTGTATTTACCTTTAACAAAACACTCTTTAGTTCATAGAAATGCACACTGTCTCAGGAGCAAATTCCTGTTTCCACGCCATACTGGGACAAATTCCTCCCTCGTGCTATACTGGGACACAGCTACTTTGCAGCTGGACGGCAGCCAAGAGCTGAAGGATCTTCTTGACTTTTGATCTGCCGGTGGCCTGAGAGCAGCCAGGTTGGCCAGACACACACGTGGACGCACCTATCAGCTCAGTCTCCAGGCCCACCTGCGCTACAGCTGACGTCTGCCAAACTTGGCTCCAAAGAGAGACAGATGTTCATCACGGGAAAGGCTCCTGAAATTCTGCCCCATCTTTGTCCAGCAAAAATCCCAAGGCTTCCGCTATGGGAAAAATTTGAGACTTCGCAGTGATAAGAAATTGACAGGGCAGGACCTTTTGTGAAGTGTAACACTTTCCACTTGTGCGACGCTTAAGGCTCAGCTTCTCACCGCTCACAAAGCGGTCTGGGCGCAGTTATATGAAGGACGGATCTTGTCACTGGCAGGGAAACCAGAGAGGCTCAGTTTTCCACTGTATTCAAAGACTTGGTTACATTTAACCTCTAGAGCTTAAACATGTATTTTTGCAATGCAGGATCACGACACCGCAGTAAGTATTAGCTAGTTTTGTTATCTGAGAAATAAATCTAATATATCCACATGCCAAAAGACTGGGAATAGCAGTAAGAAACGTCTGCGCTCAAGTGCTGGCTGGACGCCCCGCTGCACGCTGTTGTTAGAGATCCCTGTGAAAATATGCTTCCTTCTGTCGTCTTGTGTTACAGCTCCGAATAGTTAACGAACATACACAGAGCCTATGGATATAGCGGCTTTAACAAATGCTTCTGCTAAAATAAGCTCTTCAGAAACCTCTTATATTTACCCAACAGTTAATACGCGGGCCGTACAAAAATAGGCACCGTCAGTCAGTCTGTCCCTCATCTCTTCTGGGGGATAGGATTGCAAATAAAAGAAGGATACGGGCAGATACAATGACAGAAAGCAGAAAGCTTGTACTGTATTTCCAAACATAATCATCCAGAAGTTCTTCACGGGCAACCAGGAGCTCTGCCATCCCGCCATGCGTGCCACAGGGACGGAGGGGGCAGCGCCGTGCCCCCCACACCTTCCAGAAGCATCTGCCTCTACGGCCAGCGCTCCTAGGCGGAAAGACCTGGAACGCTTCTTCCTCCCTTGGTGCAGCACAACTCAATTCACCTCTCCTGAAGCAGGCTTTTCCAAACGATGGAAACACTCATATAGTGGGAGATGCAAATGAGTATTTGCTTCGGCCTCATTTGGATGGCAACACTCCTACTGACTGCACCACAGACCACAAACGTGCATACTATCCCATGTATATCTTGCAAGCCTACAAGGAACAAAAACCCACACCATTTGTTTTATTAATTGGCTTAATGATCAGAACTCCTCATAAAGTGAGTGAGGCTCAGTGTTAGCCAGCTTAGAACAAAGCAACAAAATAAACAAATGTGAAGAAAAGTGAAATAATAGAGGATTTTTAAAAAGGCAAAAGCGAAACAAAACTTCAACTGAACAAGAACTCCTCCAACCCGTACACTGGAGTTACAAAGAGAAAAGAGCAAGAATCAGTAACACCTCAAGACAAAATGTGTAAGAAGCCTAAGCCATTTGCAATGATCATTATCCAGAAAACACTGGTCAGAACTCTGATGTCAAGCAACAAGTCAATGAAAAACCTAAAAACCAGCAGATAACGTACATAGAAGAACTGAAGAACAGTATAAACTGCAATAAAACAGCAGCTTCCTAGCACTGCTCGTGCATGTAAAATTCTGCTGAATGCAGAGATAATCCTCCAGACGTGCTCTCACCGAAGGCCTTGCAGCAGCACACCTCTCACATCAAAGAAATCACAATCAAGATGCGGCAGGTGTTACTTTTCTTTCTCTCTGGCAGCACAAAGGCAGTCGGTACCCGCTGCCTGCCACGCGGCACTGCTGCATTTATGGCACACATACATAGCCCCCTCCCCTCACATCTCCCACTCCTTCCAGCACATCGCGGCTCTTTCCAAGACCAAAACCTTTAGCCACCAACCTCCACGCTGGCAGCTGACGATAACAGGTCCTTATGAGGAAAGCAGAGTCACTTCCTCTCCCCGGCTGCTACTTGATATTCCAGAGATGCCGAACACTGGGAATTCTGGCAGCTTACCTCTTCATTACCAGTATCACAGCAACATTCTTTTGCAGTATTGTATTTTAAGTTTGGAAACGCTAAGCACTCTGAGTAAAAAATTTAATACTGGTTCTCCATGAATTTTGGCTTCTACATATAGCTGAAGGCAAATGCAGACAACATCTCTAACATAAGAACATAAGACAAAATGCAAACTCTTCTCATATAACCAAACTTTACTACCCCTTCTTACCACTGTTTCATTTCACAATGCCTAATAATTCATCTGCTCTGGGTACAACTCAGTCATCATTACAACAAATACCAATGCAACAAAGTCATCAAAAGGGCAGCACATTTATCCTTATCTTTTTGTTTGTTTGTTTGGCTAATGAGCCATCCAAAACCATCTTATTGACCAAAGGAAAGTTGGTGGAACTTACACAAGTTCAGCGGTGACTGAAGTCAAAATGGATTACAAACCTGGCTTTCTGGAACGACAACTACTTGCAGAATGCAAGCATATACATTATTGGAGTTCTAACTAGACAAGGGTTGTGAGATGTGTCATCCTTACAAAGAAAGGAGGTTTAGGAGCAGAGCGAAGAGTAATTAGATGTAATAGTAGGCACTCTAACCAATACTCTCACATCCAAATCCTCTACAATACCAGTCTATCATAAATGGAGGAGTACAAACCTTTGTAAGAGACCTGCAAGAACGTAGCAAATATTCTAGGCTGGAGGGCTCCTAATCAAATTATCAACACTCCGTTATTAAAAATACGCACACAAGTATAATTAAATCTGGTGGAGGCAATGAGACTGAATCACAGAATGACAAAATTTGCGAATGATGACAGTCCTAAACAACAGCTGATTCTTTTGTGTTTTTGTGATGGACTTCAGAAGGAATTTCAAATATGTAATTACAGCAACACAGTAACAGGCAGTAGCACATTCATGGTGTACAGTAAAACACTGAAAATTAATGTAAATCATTCATTCATTAATTACTCAATAGTTCACAAATTATATCTAGGCCACTTTACAGATTACTCAAGAAAAATATATTAAATTGGGACCAAAAATAATCAGGCTATCGGTACTTATTCTTAAATGAGAAAGACATAAGCCTTATATAAAACTAGTGATATCCCCTCACCTTGAATAGTGTGTGTTCACTTTGGAATTCTGTGTTCAGTTTTGCTCACCCCCCTCTGAAAAAGGATACATCAAATAGAAAAGACTCAGAGAAGGATAATATCACTTGAAGAACTGAAGAGACTCAGGTAAAAGAAGAAATCCTGCTTAGAACTACAAAATGCCAGCGAAGAAATCAATCACTCAAATTACATAAAATAATGGAAGAGAAGCAGTCAGGTGTTTTAACACCCTGCCTCATGTCAAATAACCCAGGGATTCCCCATCCCTTTGAGATTAATAACTGATGCAAATATAGATATACTGTTGTGGGTTTGGGTTTTTTGGTTGTTTTGTTTTGTTTTAAGCCAGAATTAAATTAGGGCCGCTACTGAAGTGGAAAATGTATATGGTTTTAAGGAATGGACTGGCAGAACATAAGATCCACAACTGCTCTAGACCTTAAACAGTCAGGTTCTTACAACACAAGGTTCTTGTCGTATCAACATACAATAAAACTAGGTAGAAGTAGAACCTTCTGCTATCAGTAAAGTTTCTTGAACAAAACACCAGATCCATGGATCTGATGATGTGTATTTCTCGTTTCCTGCATACTGAAATTACTATTATCATTGCACAAAA